ATCCAGAGGGCCTCCAAGATTTACTTAGTTCACTTGAGAAATATACATCCAAATGGAAATTAACTGTAAACGTAGCTAAAACAAAAATACTTGTCTTCCGAAATGGTGGCAAATTAAAAGGCAATGAGATTTGGACTTACAATAAGCAGACATCAGAAATAGTAAACTAATTCAACTATCTCGGAATTTTATTGAATTTTAATGGTAAATTTACAAAAACCCAAAGGAATATATCTGAGAAAGGTAGAAAGGCATTATATTCAGTTTCTAAAGTGTGTAATGATAATTATTTTAATGTAGAAACCAAACTTTTCGTTTTTAATACCTATGTAAAAAGTATTTTAAACTACGGCTCTGAAATTTGGGGTTTTCATAAAGCACCAGATATAGAAAAAATTCACTCCTCATTTTGTAAAAAATTCTAAACGTTCGTCAAACCACAAACAATGATAGGATCTATTTTGAACTCGGTAGATACCCAATGCATATATTACGTAAAATTCAAATTTTTAAATATTTTTTCAAACTAAGAGCCACAGACAATATAATACTTTCATCTTGTATCAAAAACATGATAAATAATAATGATATTTGGATAATTAATGTTAAAAATGAATTATATAATATTGGTCTGGGTTATATATGGGAAGGAAGCTGTTGTGATAAATCTACATTTTTAACTACAAAACAACGTTTACAGGTTAATTTCAAACAAGATTGTTACCAGAATATTTGTTGCTCACCAAAAGGGCTTTTATATCAACATCTTATTTTAAATTTTAATCTCCAGTATTATTTAACTAAGCCTATCAACCCCCGATATATTAAATACATTTCAAAATTACGTTTATCTTCACATAATTTAAATATTGAAATTGGTTGTTTTAAGAATATCGAAAGAAGTAGTAGAATATGTACACTATGTAATCTATCGGAAGTTGAAAACGAATATCACCATATACTAATTTGTCCATACTTCACGGACTATAGAGTTTTATATATCAAAAAATATTACTATATATATCCTTCTTTTTACAAATTAGTATAATTGCTGTCTGTAAATAATGTTAAGGAATTGTCAAAACTTGCTTTATTCCTATATTTATGTAATAAACGAAGAAATGAGATATTTAAACTAAGCGATTAATACAATAAACTAATTTGTTCTCTCTCTCTCTCTCTCTCTCTCTCTCTATCTCTGTCATAAATATGTGTAAATATTTGTATATTGTATATTATTTGTATGTTTGTAAACATTATGTATATGTTCTATTCTGATGAGCCTTTAGGCTCAAGGAAATAAAGAATTTGATTTGATTTGATAAATATACCCTAGATATATCATTAAGAATGTCGTCTATTTTATTTTGGGAAGTACATGTAGCTCAGTTCGAGTTTTCTTGTAATAGATTCTATTTCATTTTGATCAATATTTGAAATAAATTCATTTTTCTTTTCGGGTATCCGTGATTTTAGGCGAGCTTTATGATTTTGTATTGCTACTAAGTTATCTAATATTTTGGTTGGTTTTCAAATTTTAGTTCGAGACTTAGGGGTTTGTGAACATCAGAGAGTAAAAGTTTAAAATCTCAAATTTTACAAATATTTCAATTACATCAAGTGAACATATACTATAATCAACTACACTGGAGTCTTTACAAGTAAATTGTCCCGACTTAAAGAATTAAAAATATTTTGTCAAAAAATACAATGCCGAAAGTATTTATTATAATCACACCATCTTTAATTCAGAGGTCCATGTTACCACCGCCCAGCACTGTTTCCAGGAAAAAATTGTCTTCTGGATTTGGTCTAGAGATAATTCGTTCCATTTATGACGAACGATTCTTTATTGTAATCAAACCACCAACATCTTTAATTCAACCAGTGGTCAATGTTGCCACTGCCCATCATTGTTTCCAGGAAAAATTGTCTTCTGGATTTGTTCTAGGTTCAAGATAGGTCGAATAACTTTGAAATGCCATGCAGCTTTTTCAAAATTCCTTGTCAAAAAATATAATGCCGAAAATGATTTATTTCGCATCTTTTAATGGAATATGTGCTGAATATAGCCACCATTCAGAAAAAATGGCCTGAATTTCTTTTTTTCATGACAAGTATTGCCTGTCCAGCTTATTCAAGTGATTTTTTGTTCCATTTCCCTCTAATTCCAGTTCCTCCAGCCTATCTCCATTGTTAATTTTGTCAGCTAGAGAAAACACACTGTAAACTATTTATTGTAATCAAGACTTTAAAGGTATGTACATATTCCTAATTTCAAAATACAAAAGGCAATATTTTCATTGAAAAATCTTTTGTTTTTCGGATTTTTTTTGCTTAAAATGTCGTCCTCTTGGAATATTTGTTAACAAATAATAATTAAAGAAAAACAATACAGTATTTACATTCAGCATTATATTTTTAAGGCTTAAAAAGGCTGTAATTTCTATATGGTTCAAGCCACAAAACTGTAATTTGGTGAAAATACATGTATTTAAAATATGTCTAATGTCCATTTAAATATGAGATCTAAATATTATGATCATAGCTTTGATACTTTTTGAAAAAATCTTTTACGGGCAAATTGTGCTGAAAATTGATATCACAATCATGGAGCATTATAATCTTGTTAAGTGACAATGATCAATCTTGGACCTGCTGGTAATTCAAAGTCATTTAAACTTTGAAGTTTTAAAATGGTGAAAATGTCTTATAGCTAAGTAATTTATGGTATTAGCTTCGATACTTAATGAACAATCTTGAATGAAAAGTGTTTTTTCCCTTGGGACATGTATTTTGATACAATACTTTTTGTTAAGAATGGTTTATTTTTTGTAAATGATATATGTTGAGTAAATGTAAATGAAAGGAGTGTGAAACAACTTATTTCATATGGAACATTCAGTTGAAAAATCATTAACTTTCATTGGGAAGGATATATTTCTCTATAAATTAGATTCATAGAAATAAAATGTGGCGCGAAAGTGCATCTGTCCATGTCAACCCCCGCAACTAGCATTGCTGACAAGGGAGGACCGGGTTGAAAAATCCTCGATATAAAGATATCTGCCTGTTGGATTAAGGGTTAGATGTCGTCTGACTCATGGCCTTTTGACATCAAAATATATGTAAGCTCCTAAGCTTAGATTACTTTAAAATACAATTCAGTTGCTCGTATCGCAAACCCAATATATCACCGAGTTCATTATCTAATTACGCTGACTGATTAATCAATTAATGAGCGGACCTCAAGAAGTATTATGTATTCACTCCGCTTATATAATGGAACAGCCCACGGGACACCCCTATCCATGTTTTCTCGGTTTTTATATCAAATTCAGAAACCGTCATGATTTAGAATTTAACTCATGATAAAGGCCGAATAATGAGGATGATGACCCTTAGAATTAGATATTAGACTAATTAGAAATCTTTAAAGATAAGTCAAAATATGAGTCGATTGCGAGGTGCAAAGTGGGTAGGAGCTAAAACGAATCACGTGAGCGGTATTTGTAGTATTGAAATGTTATTGTCAGTGAGCAAAGACAGCTCTACTCTTAATCATTATACCCCATCACGCTACTGTCATAGTGCACGTGCTATAGAAGAGTCTATGTGACTGTGGGGAGGAAAGGTGTTCAGCGTGCCATTAACAAATCTCCAGGAACGAAGAATTTGCCATATAGTTTGAAAGCTAGCGAAACACTGTCGAAATAATACCGTTTATACCAAAAAATAAAACACGGTACAATTTAAATGCTGAAAAGTAAAGTCATCTCTGAATCAACGCCCCCTTCCCTTGTCCATATCTTGATATACACGTGGTCGCTTTAGAAAAGCGTAAACAAGTAAGTTCAATGGATTTGTTGATGTAACGATGAAAGTTTGATCCCCGATCGCTAAGTTGAAATCGACGGTAAAAACGATCAAAAAACAATATTCTAATGTCCTTTACATGCCCTACGTTTATTACGGGTGGGGAGGAGACTTTGATCCTACCCCCGTACATTTATTTGGGTCCTCAGGGCGAAGTCTACCACTGCTGTGCAGAGGTGAGTAAAAGTATAACATATTGTTTACATCTGGGTAGAAATTACTGGTGCAAGCAATCTTTGGGAAGTAAGGGTTGTATATATTAAGAAATTTGCAATTTACATTAATAATCTAGACAATATAGGAAGTAAAAGAGCGTATGTTTATAACACATCAAAATATCAAATCCCTATTACTAATCAATATAACAAGAATAACTGAGAAATTTCGCAGAATAGCAGCATTTTCAAAAGGTGAAAGGTGTACCTTACGGGAAAATGCTTTTTTTCATGCTTCGCGATTTTAATATTTTTGAAGAAAACATCCGCGTATAGGTTACACCATTTGATTTGATTAACACTTGAAAAGATTTGATTAGTTTCTGAAAAGACAAAGTAGAAAACAAATTTTGTAGTTTACAGGAAAGGGCTTTTTTCATGTTTCATCATTTTTAATAGTTTTGAAGCAAACATGTGTTTAGGACTAAAGCAAACACACACGTATTGGTTTATACCATTGAATTGCTATCATAATACAAGATTTTTGAGTTTTTGACTAATCCAAAATTGTTCATAGTATAGTCCCCTGACCCCCTACACAACCAAACAACTTAACTGCGCTTAAGTTAAAATTGTCATCTTTTTGGGTGTTATAGAAGATACTCTCCTATAGAAGCACTGGTCAAGGTCACAAGAAGAGACCATACTTCTTACTTCAATTATCAATTTGAGTAATAAAGATTAAATTGAAATGGTACTATATTATTTTATATATATATATTTCAGGAAATTACAACACCTCTTGTAGGGGAAATAACTCTGTCAACATCTCAAGACTCTGGGTACGGAGAAGAACCAAGTCTAGAATGTTACGAAAGTATCGTAGAATATCGAACACAAAAACTATCATCGTGTATTCCATACGATTCTATATCTATTGACAACCATCATAAAGGACAGAATACAGGTTTTGAGGATTATTTAGAAGATATTTATAAACATCGGTTAGCATTAGAAAGAAAATTCCACCCACAAAAATGTTTGACCAAACAGACAGAGGTAAGAACTGGGAAATTAATTTTTTTTAAGGCACTGAATATTTCCATCTAGACATACCAATCAATACAGAGGTAAAGGAGATAAAATGATACATTAATCATACACTACACAAAAAACTCATAAAGACAAGAATATTTCAATGGATCGACAAATTAAACACAGGGCAGTTTGTTTGTGCCTACTGGAATAAATGCATCAAGAGGTACATATATTCCAAGCGGATGGTTCACATTTGCTTGGAACTAACGGGAGGCAAAGGTCAAACTAGAAAGTTTCAAAAGCTTTTTCAACTGAAAATCGCAATGGTAGATCATCACTTCAACATTTACATCAAAAATGTACCAGCATCTATTTTTTTTGTAAATATTGTAGATTACTGCAGGAATGAGAGGTGTATTAATCAACTGGATAAACAAAGTTCATCGTCAACTCGCTTTAAATCAAGATACTTTATTTTTAACTGTAAATATTATAGACAGAATACTCGCCTTTAAACGCATTCCGGCTGATGGTTTGCAGTTGTTAGGGTTAACTTGTTTATTGCTCGCTTCTAAACAGGTGAGAGCATGTTTCTATTTTTATTGGTCCTCTCTTACATCTTGAGAGAATTGGTTGTGCCTGTTTAGAATATCTTAACAGGGTTTTGCAATCGCTCAGCACCACATGTATGGAAGCCACGTCCAGTTTCGACCACGATTAACAGAACAGACGGCCATTCCATACAGGTCTTTTCAGTTACTTACTTGTACAGTATTTGATATTCATTTCAAGAAAAGTACTAACGTATACCCATAATGACAATTACTCCTACGGAGTGTGCAATAAATAAGATAATTCATGGACATTTGACTTTTTCATAAGAATATCCTGTATGATTCTATGTTTTATGAATGCTTAAGTACATGTACTGACAACTGCAAAACTTTTTCAGGAAGAAGTAACACCACCTGAAATCCAAGAATTATTTGAAGTATCTAATACTACCTTCAACAGAGAAGAGTTGAAAACATTAGAGAGACATATTTTAATGGCGATAGGTTTTGATCTATTTATCCCAACATCTCAGTACTTCCTAGAACACTTCGCTACTATCTGTCTGTCAAAAACCTCGGGCTTTGAAAACGATAAATTAAGGTAAGTCCTGGACCAGTTCGTCAGAGATGTTGGAGACAATATGACGGGATACACGTAGGATTTGTTGAAGTTTTCACATTAATGACATGTGTTTACATTGGACCGATTTTGCCTGAAGTGATATGTACATTTATATATAATCGTTCGTTTTATTTAGTTTATATGTCTATTTTCAGAGAAGCTAGGGCATTAAGTAGATGTATGTTAGAGTTGTCTTTACAAGATTATGATTTATGCCAATTTCGACCATCTTTAATGGCATTGTGTATGTGGAAGGTGGCCATAGAGCAAGTTGGGGTAGGCGATGGGGACTTCTTTCCTGATGGTATATACTGCACAAGAGGCCAGTACGATAAGTGCCTTCAGGAATGTCGACAATTTTCTAGAAATCTTGCAACCAGTTTTCCAGATATCTCCAGTATTTGTAATCGATTCCGGGACATGTACGGAGTCGATTAAAACAGGGGACATAACTCTTCCTATATTAAGTGCTACATCAATAACTTATTTATTTTTTCTATTTAAATTTCTATCAATTAATATGAATTTCATGCATTTCTTATTTTATTCAGGGACATGTCTTGAGCTTGAATTTTATTTGATCAAAATTTATTTTTTTCCAAATGAAATATTTATATTTAGTACCAAACATTAAAACAAAATATATCAATAAAATGATGCAAATATAATTTTCCGAATCACCTACTTTGCTCAAAATGTGTCAAGATAATTATGCTTATCTCTTATCATTCCAATTTGCTAAGAAACTGGGGTAAATGAGAAAAATAGAAGTATGAAATGAACAGGTGTTGTTTGCCCTATAGAGATCTTCTCATTGCCACCCACCTCATTATTGGCAGCTATAAAGTCTTATATTTTTGTTAAATTCTATTTTTATATTCTTGGTCTTTCAAAAACATTTTCACTCATGAGAAAAAACAGATCGTGATTTGAAAAAGGCAACACCAATATACTCCAATATTTGAAACACAAGATTCTAAATTTAGGGCCATGCTTTCTATTTTTCTCCAAAACGTAATAAAGTGTATCTCGCAGCGCAATTTGAAATATTGAAAGTTTGTGATACAATTCTGGTCAAAGCAAAATATTGTTACTTTTCTATATAATTTATTCTATTGACATTAGATATATTTTCTTGGTTATACAAGATTTTTCAACTTATATCTACTTAACACTATATCAAAATTATCAGTCTTACTCGTAAAACTTTCCAAATATTTCGTATGTGACACCTTCAGGAACTCTTTGCTTTACTGCAGTGGCATCGGTGTTAGATAAGGACATATACTTTGCCTTCATTACAACCTACTATATAGTACATATTTGATAGAAGTATGTTTAATTTCTGAAGGTCTTATTCATTTATTTATTACATTTTTTCTATTGATATACATACTTGTATGTGTTTGCAATATTGTTACATCCGTCCATATTTACTTTATTGTATTGTTGAAATACTTTGAAAGTTGATCTATATTTGGTTAAATTTCAGTAATGTCTCAAAGAAACTAACATGTTTTTTATTCAAAGTAGTGGCATATCAGAAGAGTTTAATAATATTCATTAACGAGGCTACTAAGCATGATATTGGAAGAAAAAAAGAATGTATTATTATTATACAAGTATCTCGCTTCACGAATAAAACAGTTCTGTGGTACCATGATTTTTGTTATAATAGTACAGTATAAAAGTGTTAATATGACCTTGCTCAATATAAACAGGTATATGTTTTGAAACTTAGCTGTGATACCAAAACAAATAGGTGTTCAAATTATATTCTGACATTTCCTTTACGTTCTTATATTAATGCTCATGAGCAAACTTGAGAATACCATTTCTTTATCTGAAACGATGGTTAACCTTTAGCCATTACTGTCTGAAGTTCTCTGGAGAAATGATCAGACGTTTCCAAACGTACTTTGGGAACACTACCTCATTTCCATCAGGACTTCTACGTATTAGAACGTCTCTTCACAATATCTTTTCTTTTATTTAACCATGTTTGGTACATGTTACGTACATTATAGTCCAGCAAATATATTTGTGCATATCAGGGTCTATACACAATATCAAGAAGAAAAGTAATTAGAACCAATTGAACTTACAACTTTACAACTAAATGTACTTCAATATCGTATTGGTATGCACACAAATATATTGTTCGACTATAGTTCTGTTTTCTGGACTGTAATTCACTTTTATACCATAACAATATATCCTACAGTATTTAATACATTTTCTGACTTTTTTCAGCAATTTGCATGCCTAACTTAATAGTACAATTTTTTTAGTCAGCTTTTGGTCATCCCGTTCAGTGCGACACCTTCGCTACTTGTGTGTGCAAAACTATTTAAGTGGTCGTTCTTAAAACCGTTTCATTTGATGTTTCTTGCTTCAGATAATGTTTTTTTCTATTTACTATAAATCTATCTAACTGCTCATAATGAAATTATTTATATCAAATTCAATAGACTGTCGTAAAACGTCGCATTGTTGATGATAGTGGTTCTATAAACCATAAACCAATATGACCAGCGGCAGAAAGTCATTGGAATTTTTCAGATTTTGGTATTTCTCTTATAAAATGTTCTTTTTTTTCTTCCAAGGTAACACGTTTTTCTCTGATTTTTGCAAATACACCATATTAACTTTTAGGTCATCCCAATAAACAGCGTAAAAATATAGCCTTATGTATTCTTCAAACACTTGGAATCCTCGACCAGATCTGTAACCAGGTATGATAATGAATAGTAATGATCTGTTACTAATCTATGAATGGTGTTGATGTTTGATGTTTTATTTGTTAATGATTAAATCCTTTATCCTGGTGTTTTAATCAGATTTAAAGGCGTTTCTACAACAAAATACATCTTCATTCAGGCAGTTATAAACATAATCAATCTCTTTAAAAAGTTGGAAAATCCTTAGAGTAAAGAAATTTCACAATGCGATTAGTGATGTGTTAACTTCATTATCCGTGGTTCTAAACCATACAGAAACATTGCACGACCTTTGACCTTAATTCTAGATGGCGCCTGTAATTAGCCCGCGAGTCAATTGGTCAGCGGCGATACAGACACTCGCTAATGGCGGTTTCTTTGTTGACCACATGAGCCAAGAGATGAAGAAACTCTATGGGGGTCATCAGTAAATAGAAGTTCTATTATCGTAGTGTAACAATTTGTCGCCTGTATGACAATGACACTATGGAATCAAATTAATTAGTAACCAACTAGTGAATATCTGCTATTGAAAATCGAGTTGTATTTGTATTAACAATTCAAAAGATTTTAGTTTAGTCTTTGAATTGACATTAGTAAATAACCATGTTAACTGCCCCTGGACATTGGTCAAGATGAATAATTAACATCCTTAAGGACTCTCATTGCCGTGCAGTTCTTCCCTCTTGTACTGGTCAGAACATCACTCGACACTGTAACACCGACCATATTGCACAAAAGCCACTCACGTTAAAAGTCTATTAGTAATTTTAATATCAAGTGTACCTTTGTTTTTGAAGTAGTTCTTGGAAATTGACACTATTTTAATTACCGTGGTCATCACCACACTACTTTATAGACCATTTCAATCCGTATTCAATCATAACCGGAAATTACTCGTATAGTATTATCAAGGTGTTATTTTCAAACTTTTCAACTATTTTCAAGTATTTTGTAATTTGTTGATTTATGAGAAAAATTGTATCAGACTCTTCCATTGACATGCTGAACACTCTAAATGTATTTTCGGGTGGCGATCGGACAATATTAGCATAGCATGGGCTGTTTAGAGTACCTTAACATCTTGGCATGAAATAAAGTCTTTTTCTCCCCGACTCTATTAAGATTAAAGACAATTTTCTAAACTTTCATAGATATCGGGGATTCTGATCGATTTGCTAAAGTTTAATTCTCATTAAAACGATATAGATAGTTTTTCACTAGTGGCGTACGCAGGATTTATTCAAAGGGGGTCGGACCGAGGGTGCGAATTCGATTGCAGAGTATAGCGGCATGAGAACGTTTCAGTTGAGCTGGTGACACCGTATCTTTATAGCTCTCAGAAATATTATAGAAAGAAAGGCACCTTCTTGTATGTTACTGAATTTCCAGACATCCAGCAGGTGCCCACGACCTAGGAGAAAATTAATTTTGAATTAAAAACTTAAATTTTCACCTAGGTGATCTATAGGGCGACCGATACCTTTCAACCAATCAAATTTAATGTCAAGTCCTCTCAGTGGCGGTCCACCATTTGTACTGATCACATGATATGATCGACGAAAATATGCGCTACTTGTACCCCTTCGTAATGGCGCGTCTGTGAGTGGAGATGGGTCCCAAAACGAACAAATGGTCTTCTTGTCCCTCAACCATAAATTGTTCGGCACTTTTTGATGTTATCGGATGCCAAATTTTACGTCCATTACAGATATTCTACACAGCCAGGCTTCACAATTAGTGGACATGTCCCCCATTATAACTAGTGACAATTCCTTCAAGAACCACTATTAAAAAAAAAATAGTGACTGACAAAATAAGATACGTAGCGTGATTTATTGCTAAAAGTCACTGAAACAACATAAGAATATGGTCCACTTTGTGTTCCATAGAAACTTTCTGCTGACACGGAATCCACTAGTTGATCACGTGACTTCATTCGTTGGACTACATTCTAACAGACGACACTTGGAATTCCGATTACCGCTTGGGATTATAAGGAAATTCGGCCGATAAAAAATGGTGACGTTTGGTAATAAGTGAAATCCGCCATTTTGTATTTGTCAAAGTATACATTCACACATTTTACTATGCTTGAAACTGCTGGATTCATTCTACTAGCTGACATTGTACAGAAAACCCATTTTTATCAAAGCAAGCAAATGCGGAGGTCACGCGAGGTCGCACATGTAAATTATTAATCATTTCCGGAAATCCACGAATAATAGGTTACCACGAAATTAGGTTACTTGACTGTATTATATTTGTATTATATATCACGTATACTCATTTATATAGCAATAGATATTGTTTAAACCAAACCTGCAATACCGAACAAACAACCGGAAATAGTGTTGACTATTCTGACAACAATTTACCAAAATGTTCCATTCGTTGGATACCAACCGGTCTCTTCAGGGTCCTGTTGTTACTTTGGAATTTCATAGTCGTTAGAGAATTTCGTCGAAATCTTCGACACCACGGGTGGAAACTCAACTATTTAAAATTAGTTATTCTCATGTTGAA